TGCATCGACCGGGAATCGGCGACGCAGCGCCAACAGATCGGCGATAGGCCCCCGATGGCGAATCCGCACCTGCCTGGGCGGGGTGGGGCAAGCGGGCACCCATCGGCGATCCATGGGCGATTGGGGGTGGAGGAGGGAGGAGGAGGGGGAGGAGGAGGAGGAGGAGGAGGAGGAGGAGGAGGAGGAGGAGGAGGAGGAGGAGGAGGAGGAGGAGGAGGAGGCCCCCCCCTATCGTTGCCCCCGGTCCTCCCGCACCTTCTCGGACCGCCTGACGGCCTTCATCTCCTCCCGGTGGTAGTACTGCATCTCGTCCTGGGGCCGGAGAAGGGCCCAGGCCCCCTCGAGCTGTGGAACAATCACGGCGGGAGGTGTCTCGCCAGGTTCGGCCTCCGAGGGGGGCCTTCCCAGGCCCCGGCATCGTCAGAGAACGACTCGCGATGCAGCACCGGAGCGTTTCCTTATCTGACAGACACAGAACACGCTTCAAAAATCAGGGATTCCTTTCTGATAAACAAAACAGGCAACAGCGTCGGGGGTCTGCGGACGGGGACGTACCAGTACTATGCGCCGCCCACCTTGAAAGAGCACGTTCGCACCAGCCATGTATAGTACACATATCCTGCAGCATGCCTCTGCACAGGCGGCATGGCCAGAGAGCCCCCCACACCGTGCAGAATCTGCTGTGAGATTTCTGGACGCGCACGCCGCCCCCGGGGGGGGGGAACAGCGCACACATCCCTGAGATCCGACGTTGCGACAAATGCAACATCGCGCAAAATCATGCAGCCCTACAGTGGAGGCCAGTCCACAAAATACCTTCCACGAGAAACCCAACCCTGAGACCCCAGGGCGTCCATCGTTTCTTGGTGTGGGAACCTCACGCTCTCCGTCGCAAAACCATCGACAAACAAGAAAACGAGGGCACCCTGGAGGCAAGCAGGGTGCTTCTTGGCATGGGTCATCACTGTAGAACCCAACTTTCTGCAGCAACTGCTCGAGCTGGACCGATGCGTGATGGCTCACAACGCCCGAGACCTGGGAGCGCGCCTGGCGTGAAAACAGTGCAGCGCCTGGATCTCAGGGATACTGTAGGTATGGCTGGATGATGCCGACCCAGACATGCAACGACGTGATGTGTTCAATGCTCGGCCCCTGGACGTCCCGACCCCTTCCCTGGGGCCAATTCTGCATCCCCAACTGTTTCTTGACGGTGCCGGGGCCCAGCGAGAGCCCCCCCCAGAGGCGGAAGACTGTCAAAGCCTGCTGCTGCGATTTCTTCACAACCCGAAAACTGTCCGAAAAACCCTTGGAGATACCAAAAGATACCGCACAAAATGGGAAAATGGGCAAGGGGGTAGAGGTACAGGTACCTTTTCCTCCACTGACGCCGTCCGAGGAGTCCTCGTCAAGCCGCAGCTCGGCCTTGTCGTGCTTGCTGAGGAAGCCCTTCATGGCCCGCTGCTCCAGGGCCTCCGCCTTCTCCGCCTGCCGGGGCTGGAGCTGAACCTTGCTATCCGCCTTGTGCTCGTGTTGCTGTTCGTTTCGCTCCACCTGTCTCCCCACACCCCCCCCGTCCCCCCAATAGGGGGCCACATGCGAACCCTACCCCTACCCCCCACGATTTCTGAGGGGGAGGGTGGGGTTCGCTTCGTTCGGGAGCTCCCGAGCGAAGTGAACCCCACCCTCCCCCTCAGAAATCGTGGGGGGTAGGGGGAGGGTTCGCATGTGGCCCCTGACCCAAACGAAAACCAAGACACAACCGAAGTCCAGCAAAACAGCGCTTCGGTCCGGCCCCGCCGCCTGCTCCCGCGCCCGAGCCTCCGCCGCCGCCTCGGCCGCGGCCTCCTGCTCCGCGACCCGGCGCTGGAGGGCCTCCACGTCCTCCTCCAGGGCCCTCTGCTGCTCCTTGAGAACAGAAGGTATCCTCCTCCTCCTCTCCTCCTCCTCCTCCTCCTCCTCCTCCTTCCTCCTCCTCCTCCTCCCCCCTCCTCCTCCCTCCCTCCCTCCCTCCTCCTCCTCCCTCCTCCCCCTCCCTTCCTCCCTCCTCCCTCCTTCCTCCTCCCTTCCCCCCTCCCTCCTCCCCTCCCCTCCTCCTCCCTCCTCTTTCCTCCTCCCTTCCTCCCTCCTCCCTCCTCCCTTCTCCCTCCTCTTCCTCCTCCTCCTCCCTCCTCCTCCTCCTCCTCCTCCGAGCAAAACATGTTCGGAGCTCCGCGCGACGTCTGGGATCGGCTCTGGGTCCCCTTGCCTGGCGCGCGGAGCACGCCAGGGGCGGCGCCAGCAGCGCCACCAGGGTGGCCCAGCGCCGATGCAAAACAGATACCTGTATATATATATATATATGTATAGAGAGAGAGAGAGACACACACACACACATATACATTCATCTGCCACTGTGCATGTATTGATTCATGTGTCTGGACATACACGTCAACTTGACATCTAGCGCGGGCGTATATATATATAGGCCGTGGTATATCTGTACGCATGCATGTCTCTTTAAATGCGACACACCTTCATCTGTATATATATATATGTACAAGACGGCAGTGGCGCTTCGCGCCATGCACCTTGGTCCTTGAAGTTTGGTACGCAGGCGGAGTAGCAGGAAGGTCACGCCGACAATTTAGCGACAACTAAAGTTTGTTTGTTTTCCGGCATCGCCGCTATAATAATGTTATTCGGTATATTTCCTCCATGCTTCTTTTCCCTATGTTCGCCAAACCCTGCGCATTCTCCCCATCCTCCTCAGCTCTTTTTTGCGGAGGCTTCTCCTTGGAGAGCCTCTAGGGGCCTCACAAAAGTTGTTTCAGGCTTTCTTATGGCCTCCTGGAGGCCTCCTGGGCGTATTCTGGGGGCCTCCGCGGGCTTCCTCGGGCCACCCTGCCTCCAACCGCGGTCTCCCTGAACGACCGAATCACGATTTGGAATTCTTCGGAGGGTGTCTTTGAGCCATCTTGGGCCGCCATGGGGCTCTCTGAGAGCCATCTTGGACCCGTGTTGTGCCGTTTTGGGGCTCTTTTGGACTGCCTGGAAGCCCTTTCGGATGGTTGTGGGGCGATTTTGGAGCCTCCCAGGCGTCTTCGGACGCCCAGAAGACCGCCGTCTTGGAGCGTCGGGAAGCCGAAAAGAGGAGAACCCCCAAATTCACAAAGAAACAAACAGACAATCAATGATTTTTGCCTCGGGGGAAGCCTTCTTGGGAGTGTTCTTGGAGGCCTCTTTGGGGCCGTCCTGGAGGCCTCTTGGGGGTCCGGTCGGTCACTCTTGGAGCGATCTTGTGTTGTCTTGGGGGTCTCTGGGACGTCTCCGATGACCCCCCTGAGCGCCCTAGGTGTGCTGGGAAGGCTTGGCAAAACGCCCTGCGAGGCCTGGTGGCCGCTTCGAGGCCAGCGAGGAGGGTCCCAAAGCCCCAGATCCCGGGAGTCCGGTTTTTTGGAGGGAGACGGGTTCTCCCCCCGCCCGGGCTTATATGAAGGGGAACTGGAACACACAAATAAATACACACAAATAAACATATCCCCCATATTTTACCATATTTTCTGGGTTTCTGTCTTCCCCCCCACTTCCCATATTTTCTCATATTTTCTGGGAAATCGAGAATTAATTGTGTCTGTGTGTTTCTTTTCCTCCTGATTATAAAAATAAAGGAAGAGGAAAACATAGATGCGCGGAGCTCCGAGGGCTTATGTTTAATTATGTTATTTGTTCTGCTTCGAGGCCTTCGTCTCGTCGAATTCCTTGAGCTTGCTCTTCCACTCCCTCGTCGCCGTTTTCAGCTCGTTGAACTTGTATTGGGCGTCGTCGTACTTGAGCCGGATCCCTCCAGTCACCAGGTCTTCCAGAATCTGCTGCTGCCGCGAATCGTCGGCCTGCTCGATGAGTGCAAGGATGAGGTCCAGCATCGTGGCACCGTCGTGGTACACCGCCTCCAGCAGAGTCTGGGCAACGTTCTCGCTTGACATGTTCCTGCTCTCCAGTGTATCCAGCCGCTGCTGCAGCCGATCGCGCTTGAGCTCGAGGGCCGCGATTCCATCGCGCATCAGCTTCAGCAAAATGCGCACCGCGAACTCGTCATCGCAATTGATCCCGGCCTTTCGCAGGTACTCCACCAGCGGCTCGTCAGCCGACTCGCGAGTCCCGATCTGCTCCGAGAGAAGCGCGACCTCCTCTTCGGTGGCGTCGTCGGCGCCCAGCGGCTCCTTGAGCGCGCTCAGTGCCTCGTCGACCACCTCCTGCGCGGCCTTCCTGAGCTGGTGGTCGTGGGCTGTTCGTGCGATCTTGCCGATCTCCTGTGCGCGGCCGGCGCCCCGTCCCCAGGTGAGCGTTTCTTTTATTCGGCGTTTCGGCACTGGGCGGAATGGGGGGGGGGGGAAAGGGGGGTCTGGCTCCGGACCTCTGCTCAATGCGACTGTTTGGAACCGTGCGTCCATTTTTGGGGAAGACTCCACCTGCTTGAAACAGGCGCCAAAAACAGACAAGATCTGCTCCACGGTGGGGAGGGGGTGCGAGGGCCCGCACCGATCGGCAAAACAATGCATAAAAAAAAAAATCACCAGACCCCCGACGCCATGGTTTGTTCCGAAGGTGGGCCTCCAGGAAGGAGGTCTGGAGCCCTTCTCGGGGTGCGGTGGTTCAGCCCGAGGCCCTGGGCGTTTTGTCGACGGCCCCGCGGGCCCTGCCGGGGCCCCAAGAGGCCTGGAATCCGAGAGGGGATTCGACTACCGAGTTGATCTGCTCAACATTGGTTTGTTCGTCAAGCCGACACCAATGACGCAGACTGCTCCGTAGATCTACGGACCGTTCCACGCTCCACGCATTCGTTCGTGGAGTCGGCGGAGAAATCCGTCTGGGGGTAGATTCACCGTGCAGCCGATCCCCTGCTCGAAGAGCGGCACACCACCTGCCACCGTGCTCTTCCTCACGACGCGAGGGGGCTTGGGCGCTCATGCCCCTGCTGACGCCCGCGCGCTTCAAAAGGGGCCGCAGGAGGAGGAGGAGGAGGAGGAGAAGGAGGCGGAGGGTGAGGAGGACGGGGAGGAGGTGGAGGAGGAGGAGGAGGAGGAGGAGGAGGAGGAGGAGGGGAGGAGGAGGAGGAGGAGGAGGAGGAGGAGGAGGAGCAGGAGGAGCAGGAGGAACAGGAGGATGAGGAGCAGGAGCAGGAGCAGGAGGAGGAGGAGGAGGAGGAGGAGGAGGAGGAGGAGGAGGAGGAGGAGGAGGAGGAGGAGGAGGGGGCAGGGCCAACCAGCCAGGCCTCTGGAGCCAGGTTGCCGTGTTCCGCCTGCTCCCCGCGGCGCCCAGAGCGGGGTGCAGCAGCAGAGGTACCGAGAAATCCGGCGATGAGATTTTGGACTCGGGCCCAGGGACACACTTTTTGCGTCGGCGGCTGGGCAGGGGGCAACTGCTCCAGCGGATAGGCAACAGGGGACATGCTGTATGCAAATTAGGGCCGCAATGCACGGAAGGAGGAGGAGGAGCCCCGGCGCGACGGGAAGAGAGAAGGCCGGGCCACTCAGAGCTGCTTGCTGCGGCGGGGGGGAGCGCCGGGGAGGCGAGCAGCGCCGGCACAGGCTGTACTGAACTGCGCTGAGCGCCCAGGGACACACAGACAAATACACACACACTGGGATTCCCCACACTGTTACATCTGCTCTGGGTTATCGTCTTCCCCCCCCCACCCTTCCCATATTCTCATGTTTTCCTCAGAATCGACGGTTCATGGCGTCTGTGTGTGGTTTCCCCTCCTGCCTTTTGTTCATGCGCCGCTCCACTGTCCCTGAGATGCTGCCCTTGAGATCCTGGCGTTGCCATTATTTTTGGTTGCACCTGATGCCTGATGTCTGGCGCAACGTTGGGCCCCAGGACGCCGACGGATCGAGGCGGCCCAGAACATGCAGCAGAAATGCGCGGTCTGGGGATCAGGTTTAGGTCGGGCGTGTCCCCCCCTACAGGTGGATTCTGAGCGAAAACAACCTCAAATGCCAAACAATGATTTGAGAATAGACCATCACATCGTCCCCAGACTATGTTTTGACTGTTCTTGAATATTCCTCCTGTAGAGGGACGTGCCCGACTGAAATCAGGTCGTGGTGTTTCACGGTGTTCTTGTTTCGCGCCGTCGCATCGCAAGGGAGGTCCCGACCACTGCCCTGGGACCAGGTGTCCACCGCAGCGGATCAAACGCTGGCTGGTCCCGGGGACCGAGAAGAGGCCCCCAGGGCCCCAGTGAAGACTCCCGTACTGAACAACAACTCCAATCAGAGCGCTTGGCGTGAATGGTTTGGCGAATTTCCTCTTGCACCCCCCCTTCCAGGGAGGGTTTACCCTCTGGGTCTGGAGGGGTTGCACCGCGACCGACTGGAGCGTCCGAGATGGCCCACGAAAATGTCAACATTCTGCAACACCCATAACACATAAATGCGTGTTGCCGTCTCACTGTTTCGCTTTCGACGGCCCTCCGAAGCTTCAAGATGGCTCCAAGAAGGACAAAGAGAGCCCGAGGAGGAGCCCAAGAGGGTCATATCACGGCCACAAGAGCGCCCAGGAAAGCTCCAGAGAGCCCCAAGAAGGATCAAAGAGGCGATCTTAGGGGCTCTTAGGGGGGAACTAATCTACCACCCCCCTTCTTCCATCGAGCTCATCAAAGATGGCCCCAAGGAGGCCCCCAAGAGTGCCACCGGAAGGCCCCAAGAGGTACCCAGGAGGCTTTCCTGAGACACACAAGACGTTCCAAGAGGCCCCAGGGACCTTCAACAGGCCCCGAAAACACTTCAAGAGAATCCCAAAAAGCTCTGACGAGGCATCCGAAGAGACACTGACAGGCATCCAATGGGCCTCTGGCCTTTCTGGTCGCCCTCCTGCTCCTCTAGCTCCTCCTCCTCCTCCTCCTCCTCATCTGCATATTCCTACTCCTTCGCTCGCCTCCCCCTCCCCCTCCTCCCCCTCCCCCTCCTCCGATTCCTCCTCCATCATTTCCCCCTCTTGGGGTGCGTCGGCTGCCCAAGCCCTCTAGTCCACCGCGTGCGCCTCCACATCCTTGCTCAGAGCCACGCACCTGGGCATCGCTGTTGAATGGGCTGGCGGGGCTGCGCGAAGCGTCCAGAAGACTATCGGAGATCTGTGGAGGGGCCCTGGGACACACAAACAAATACACACAAAGAACAGGATTCCCCATAGTTTCCTATACTTCCTGGGTTTTTGTCTTCCCCCCCACTTCCCATATGTTTCCTAGATGTTCCAGGGGATCGACGATCAGTTGTGTCTGTGTGTGCTTTCCCCCTCCTGAATCTGGGCATGGGTGGGAGGCCGCCCGCCGATCCTCCACCAGGAACTGGCGCTCCCGCAGGTAGTCCCGCTGGCAACTGGCGAGCGTCTGGCGGGCCTCGCGGAACCTGGCGGCCTCCTGTCGGCACGGGATAGGGAGGAAGGGACCCGCGAAGGGGCCCTGGGACACACACAGATGAATAGACACAAATAAAAGGACCACCCGTATTTTTTTCCATAGTTTCTGGGGTCTTCCCTGTCTTCCCCCCCCCCTTCCCATAGTTTCCCATACTTTCCGGGGGATCGACGATTCACTCTGTCTGTGCTTTGTCGCCCCTCCTGAACTTGGAAGGACTGCACTCCTGATGCCGCAGTGGACATCCGAAAACCGGCGGCCAGCCGATACCGAGGCGGCCCTCCCTGGCCGTTCCTCCACCCGGGTTGGCCTTCCGGGGGCTTCTGGCCACCGCAGAACGAGGAGACGTGAACATGAGGTTGTCCAACGCGCACATCCTGGCCCCGCGACATCGCCGAACCCTGGACTAGCCTCGTTCTGGCTGAACGAACATTGGGCCTGCAAAGGTGCGGCCTCGCTCAATCCCACACTCGAGAAGCAGAGAGAGAGATGAGAGGAGAGGAGAGGAGGGGAGAGAGGAGAGAGAGAGAGAGAGAAAAAAAGAAGGAGAGAGAGTGAGACAGGGAGAGAGAGAGAGAGAGAGAGAGAGAAAAAAAAAAAGAGAGACATAGAGAGAAAGAGAGAGAGAGAGAAAATAAAAAAGAGAGCGAGAGACAATGAGAGAGAGAGAGATAGAGAAAACGATAGAGCGGAATACCTATGTATAGGGAGAGGGAGAGAGAGAAACAACATCACACAACATGGCCGTTACGTTCATTTCTGCGCACATGAATACGCCTGTGTCAGCGGGGGATGCCAGCGCGGGCCAGACACGTGTTGTGTCCGCACCTCTGCACCAGAAAGCCCCAGACCGCACCGTTCGCTGCACCGCCACTGCCGAGCAAGATCGACCCGTGAGGGGCCTCAGCGCCCGGAATTCTGGGGGCGAGAGCGCCCGCCGTGCAAACGAAACGCAGCGCCAGGATCTCGGGGTCTGTAGACGCACATGGACCAAACGATGCTCTAATTACAAACTGGGCCAAGCATCATGTTGTTCCCATCGTACCTCAGGGCCACATCCCAGGAATGATTCGGGCTCCCAGAAGAGTGCTGAAACGGTGGCGAACGAGCGTATCGCCCCCCAGGGCCCGACACGTGAAAGCCCCCAGGTCTCGGTACTTTCGTGGTGCTCGAAATTCTTTCTGGTGGTCAAGGCTACAGTAGGTTGGAATATCATAAGCCAAGCTCTGGGCCAAAGTTCGGCCACATAGGCGTATCCTTGAATGCAGGGGGCGGCGGTGATTCGCCGTAGGCGTCTGCGACATCTCTAATTTTTTGTACACACCAATGGCTTATCCCAGAAACCCTGAACCCAAAAATCTTATCATCTCTTGGGAGGCCGACTTTTGCTTCCGCCAACTTCCGCCGGCCTGTCGCCAGCTTCCGCCGCCGGCGGAGGCGGCCTCGTTGTGCTTCCGCCGCCCTGCCGCCGAGGAAGAGATTGCAGCTCCTTCGATCCTCGAAGGCAAGGCCCTGTCTGGAACGCTCCGCATACACACATAAAACCCCAAAAGACTCTCTGGTGCTTCCCCCAGGGCTGGCTCGCCACCCTGAGCGGTCACCTGGACGGTCCCAGGGTCAGGTCGGGCATGTCCCCCTACAGGCGGATTTTGTACGAAAAATAATCAAACAACTAATAAGAAATCGTCCCCTAACTATTTTTTGACTATTTTCACGATTCCTCCTGTAGAGGGGCAAGCCCGACTGAACCCTGGGCCCCTCTGCCGCCGGACCCACTTCCCGGGTGGCCAACAGGTACCGCCCCCGCTGCGACAGGCTCTTTCGAGTCGACGCTAATCGGCGCTAGTCGAAGCGAATCGACACGATCGACGCTAATCACCATCGGCGCTGAATCGACGCTGAATCGGCGCTCTCTCATCGATCACCAGACGCCAGCGCACGCTATACGGACCCTAAGAATGGAACTCCAAAGGCATACAAGGCTCCCATGATTTGCTACCGCGGGTTCGTGCGGTGCCGATCCCGGCGCTAGTTCCTGACACCGCGGTGATCGTTCAACCTTGAAAGATCGCCCGCTTCCAAAAGGACAGGTCGTTCAACATCGAACGATTCTGGGTCGCTGGCAGCGTGCAACGATTTGAATGCCCGCGGCGGGGTGGCCGCCGATGGACGCGACGCGAACCTACCTTCCTCCCCAGACCTCTCCTGGGGCCCGTTCTGACCAGAACGTCGAGGCGAATCCAGCCGTGGCGACGAGGGCCTCCCAGGGGGGGGGCCAAAAAAACGAAAATGAGGAAAGGGTGGCTGTATCGGTGCCTTTTCCTCCTCTGACCTCAGGGCCCCTCTGCCACAGGACCCTTCTCTTCTGCGCTCGCCGCGATCCTTGTCCAGCTGCTTCTGCAGGCCGGTCACCGCGCGCGCGTCGACGAGGAGCAGGCTGCCGTCCTCCCGCCACGAGTCGCGGGGGTCCAGGAAGACGTCCTCGGTCAGGACGCGGCCGCCGACCGGATCTTTGTAGGAGATGCGCAGAGGATCGCAAGGCTGCCGCGGTGGCGCATCCTCCTGCTCGGATGTCGAGAGCAGAACACCGCACACATAAACAAACTCGAACTTACCCCAGACCTCTCCCGGGGTCCGTTCTGGCCAGAATTTCGAGGCGAATCCGACGGTGGGTGGCGACGAGAACCTGCCAGGAGGGCGGACAACGAGGCAAACGGGCGAAGGGTTCTCGCTATGGGTACGCCTGCCTCCTCCGATCTCGCCATTCCCTAGAGGCCGCTTAGATGGGGTCGGAGCAACTAGATGGGGAAGGAGGATCGTGCCGCATCGCCGATACATCGACGATGCATCGGCAATGCATCGGCGATGCATCGGCGATGCATCGTCGACGTCGGCGATACATCGGAAACGTCGACTTGAAGCAAATCGTGCTCCACATCGAGCAGCATCGGCGATGCATCGGCGATGCGGCGCGATCCTCCGACCCCATCTGCTCCGGCCCCATGTGGGAGGCCTGGATTCCTTCACCTGGGGAGTCGCCGTCGTCTCCGTGGTTCAAACATGGTGGGGTCCTGAGGGACGGGGTCCTCAGGACGAGGTGCTCCACAAAACGTAGATCCACCCTTGGATCTCTTCTTATCCTTGGGCCCCCATCCTTCAGGACCCCATCCTTGAACTACCGATCGTTGTCGGGGCAGGGGAGCCCAAACATAGAATCGATAAGCCGGATCGGCAATCGAAATGAGCCGCATCGGCGAAAATCGGCAGCCGAGCCGGGAAAGGCCGCACCGGCGGAAATCGGCGAGCCAGCACGCGTTCAATAAAAACCTGCGCCCGCATCGGACTCCGAAGTCACATCGCATCGGCGTCGGAATCCGTCGCAGCCGCATCGAATCGCACCGGAGGAATCGAGGAGGAGGAGGAGGAGGAGGAGGAGGAGGAGGAGGAGGAGGAGGAGGGGTCTCCTCCAGGTCGGCCATGCCGGCGCGGAGGCCCGCGCGCGCGGCCGCCGCAGGGGGGGCCCGCGCGCGCGCGCGGGGGAGGGCTCCCGCGGCCGCCCCCCCCTCTGCGCAGCCCCGGCGGCCTGCGGGCGCTGGGCGCCCCCGAGGGCGGCTCGGACCGGCAGGGAGGAGGGTCGTCGTCGAACGTCGAGGGTCGTCGTCGAAGGTCGGGCGGCGCGCTCGGCAACGTGATCTTGGTCGGCGGTTCGACCGTGGGCGGAACAGGGGGGCGGGGGGGGAGGGGGGGCAGGGGGTCTGGCCCCGGATCTCTGCGCGGCGCGACCGTTTGCAGCAGTGCGTCCCATGGGGGAGACCCCGCCTGCTCGAAACAGGCGCCCAAAACAGCCAAGATCCACCCCACAGGGGGGAGGAAGGGGGGGCGCGAGGGCCCGCGCCGATCGGCAAGACAATGAGTAAGAAAGCGATGACCCCCTGAGATCCTGTCGTCGCAGTGCTTCACGCCGGGCGCCTTCGCCTGGTCTCGGGGCCCCCGGGGGCCCCCACATGTCGATACGGCTCGAGACATGATATGCAGTGAAGACGAGGCGCCTGGGGCCCCAGTGGTGAGTCTTAGCGATCTTGTTCTCTTGCTGTGCAGCGTGGGGCACGAGGGTGCTGCCTGACCCGATGCGCACTACGCAGCCCGCAGCGTGTGGACACGGAGCCCAAAGCATGTTGACGACGTGGCGAATCTGGCGCAGAAGTGTTGCCAGCGCGTGGGCCAGCACGTGCGCGAGAGACCTGCCGAACACGGCACGTGCTGCGTCGCAGCGCGTGCGCAACAGGGCAACCCAGGTCTCGACGTGCACGCGAGTCTCAGAGGGGGGTGGCTGGGTGGCGCGAGCCACCACTTCCGCCACCAGCCCCCCAAGACCCGAGAGGGGTAACGTACTTGTGCTCACGTCCACTGCAGCTAGAAGTTTCGGGCTCCCTTCCCACGAAAAGCCGAGGCGCATTGGATCTGGATAAACATCTGGCCCCTAGGCTAGATCTGTGTCCATGTCCAGTGCGCTTCGGCCTCGTGGCGCCCCCTGCAAGAAGGTCCAGGAAGCACTGGATGTGGATGCAAATCTGGCCTGCAAAAGAAAACAAAAGAGAGGAGGACGCCAGGCGGGGCTCGGTAAGGAGATCCATCTCCGCCTGCCTCGCCTTAGTCTCCTCGCGAGCGGCCCGAATCTCAGGGCCTGGCTCGCTGAACAGGGAGGGAGGAAGTGCGGGTCCCAATGATATGCACCACCACCACCTCCATTGCCCCCTTCCCCTCTACCCGGAGAAGGTTGGGGTTAGGAACGTGGTGGTGTATATTTTTTGGCCCCGTAGGAAAGAGGAAATGAGACCCTGAGATCCTCGCGTCGGATTTTTGTCCACTCGGCGATCTTGCCAATGTCGGGGCCCTTTGGGGCCATCACAGATCGACCCCGGTCGGAACATGAAGCGGAAGGACACTGGGCCCAAATAGGGCTCCGGCCGGGATGTGCGCCGCAACGCTGCATCGCTTAAGGGGCCCCCGGACACACAAATAAATACACACAAATAAAAATATTCACAAGATTTTCATATCTTTTCTGGGTTTGTCTTCCCCCCCACTCCCCATATTTTTTCCA